GACCTTCCAAGCCTTACCCATGGTGCTTTGCATCCAGGGTTTGCCAGAGGACATCTAGAACACTGCTCATGGAGTGGCACTCCGTGGGGTATTAAGTAGGCAACATTAAGAACCACGTTTAAATTCCTTCCATTTCTCAGAAGCAAAATCACAATAAGCATTTCTTTTAATGTTATACACCTGTATTGTTCAATGCAGCAGCCATTAGCTATATGTAGCCATGGAACTCTTGAAATGTGGCTAGTCTGAATTGAGATGTGACATAAATGTAAATAAACTACATGCCAGATGTAGAATCCTTTATTTCTTTCTATAATATTTTGCCCCACTCCCTTCTTTTTTTGGTGCTGGGCCCACAGATCTCAGGGCCTCTAGAACACTAAGCACGTAATTTACTACTGAGCTACAAATTTGGCTTTTTTATTTTTAAATTTTTTTTAGTTGTAGATGGACACAACACCTTTATTTTATTCATTCATTTTTATGTGGTGCTGAGAATCAAACCCAGTGTCTCACACATTCTAGGCAAGTGCTCTACCACTGAGCTACAACCCCAGCCCAGATTTAGAAGTCTTGATGTGAATGAATCAACTATCACATCAATGGTTTTCTTATATAAATTTCATGTTGGAATGGTTATGCTTTGGAAATATTGGGGTTTGAGAAAACATAAAATAAATTGTACCTGCTTCTCTTTGCTTTTTAAAATGTGGCTACTGGAAAGTTTGAAACATTCACGTGGCTTGCATTATATGTCTTCGGGACAGTGTAGCTATGCCATGAAAATCAGAATGATTTTCAGAATGCTTAGAATCAATAAATTAATTTAAAAAAATCAGAATATTTTAAACTTTGGTAACAATAACATCCAGTATTTGTAGGGCACTTCCAATGTCCCAGGTTCTTTGCGTGAATAATCTGATTTTGAATCCAAGATTTGAATAGAATAAAACAAATAAAAGTTGATAAGATAATTTTCCTCCCCGGGTCTCATAGGGTTTTTTTGGTGAGTCCCTTTGGAGTTTCTTCAGGCTGCATCACTCTGATTCTCACACCAACACTGTGAAGTAGACACTGTGGTCACCCCCATTTGCATAAGGAAATGGAGGCTTATGTGAAGTGACTAGCCCACAGCTCCCCTTACTAATAAATGGCAAGGTTAGGGTCTAACTCCAGGGCTGTCTGAAAGCAGAACCTCTATGAGCCAGTTAAATATTTTGGTGATCAAGGAAGAATGTTGTCACTGTGTTTCACCGTGATCCTGGGAAAGGCTCTCTGTCTTTCTGTGTTTCACTTTCCTCGTTAAGGGACTGGACTCTGCCTGCCATGGGAGACCCCCCTGAGCTCTTCGCAGGCAGGAGAACCCACTGAAGTTTTCCTATCGTGGGATCTATTTTCCCTCCGGATTCTTACACTGTGCTTGGTTCTGGTTCAGTATCTGGTAAAGTCTGGTTCGGGGGAGGGGGGACTAAGAGAATAGTCTGAAATATGGCAAAGCAGGATAGAGGTATTTTCAGCAGGGGTGGAAGAAGGAGCAGGAGGAGGAAGTTCACAGCTGATGGAAAATCCTGTATAGTGTCAAGAGTGCCGTGAGAGGGGAGTACCATACAAGGATGTTCATCCAGAGTGGAGCCCAGCACCCTGCTGCATACTACCCTCAGCTCATCAGAGATGAGCCTTTTATCTTGAAATGCAAAAACTGTGCAGAGAGTTGAAGCGCGCACTGGAAATGCACAAACTGGAAAAAGACCTTTCAAGGGTGGACCAGAGACAGTCAGGTGGAGACCTTCGGCCCAATGAAGTGGTGGCTTCTGCAGGCAGATAGAACTGAAGGGCAGATTTTGCCCCTTACCAGTTGTGTGATATTAAGCAAGTTATAAGCATCCCAAGCTGCACTGTCCTCATCTGTAAAATGGGATAATGACTGTGCCTCTTGGGTGTGGTGGGAATTAAATGACACATAGCAATAACAGCTGCTGCATTGTGAAGGCTTCTGGGTACCAAGCCCTCTTCAGGTATACAAGTGCACCAAAGCCCAGTCGGAGCTCAGCTTGGCTTGGGAACTACTAATAAGATTACAATGAATGAGGGTCTTGTCATGATCTCGAAGGTGTGTTGGGAAGATCATTCAGCTGCATTCTTGTCCTGATGTGTCGCTTTGGTAAAATTACATACCTTCTCTGAGCTTAGGGTGACTCATTTGTAAAGTATAATGATTGACTTTTATGTTCCATAAGGCCATCTCTTGTTCAAAATGCTGTTCAGTTCTGGACATTGGATTTATTATTTAGTGTTGGGAAGACTAGGAAATGAACTTCAAATATGTACATATGATTATTATAAATTTGAGTGATTGCGACCAGCTGTTCTTTTTTGACGGAGGACGGGACATGAGGCAACCCACTTTAATTGTTTGAGATTAGACATTTGGAAGACTTTTCTGACTTGGGAGAGAAAGAAATATGTCATCAGACCAGGCTATGGAGCTGCATGCCCTGAAGTCATTAAAGCAGACAGTTGACTCTTTCTCTGACACTCACAGGCATTCCCCGACTCTCTGATCTGATCTCCTCCTTTATTCTTTCATGTTTCATAGTTGTTTTCCTCTATACCACTTAGGTCAGTTCATAATTGCATTTTTATTTTGTATTTAACATTTTTATGTCTGTCTCTTTAGACTATAAACCACCCAGGGGCCGGACCTAACTTGATTTGGTCAACTCCTATGTCCCTAGTCCCCGTACAGCAGTTGTCACATGGCAGGACGGATAGATTGATGGATGCAGTCCAGAGGTGGCAGGTTTTGTGGTAGTGCTTGTTGATGGAGGTGGGTCCTCTATTCTTTTTTTGGTTAAAAAAAAAATCCCAGAGACCTTGCCTCTCAAGAGACTTCAGGTACTGTTCCTCCTTCCACCTTCTTTTTTCTGGGAGCTGGTCACCCATGGTGCCTTTCTTCCATGGGATTGGCCGGCCTGTGCTCTTCTGGGTGGAGAGATGGAGCAGGCAGGTAGGGTTCCGTTGGGGTGGGAAGGAAGTAGGGCATGATGGTGCTGCTGATCTCCATTCACCCTTCCAGATCCACTCTTTGCCCTTCACACTGCTCTGTGTCCCAGGAAGTTGACCTCGGTGGGCTGCATTGACCAGGCTCCCTGCCCTCTGGCTTCCGGTCAAGGTTGGCTAATGAGAGAGGAAGGAAGCACGGCAGGAAGATGGAGGATGGAAGAAAGCGTGCTTGGGTCATGTGTTGGTTCCCTTGTTTCCTGTCTGGCCCTGTCTCCAGGTTCTTGCAAACACTCCTCTGTCTCCCCAGGAGTAGCAGTGGAAATGCTTCCCTGGGGGCACCTCACCATTGCTTTTTGGTTCCCTTTCTCCCACACACACCTCCTAGTCCCTACACTAAACCTTCAGTTCCCTGATATGAGTGGGCCATTTGTTTCCCCTGTTTTCCACACTCACCACTGTATTGTGTTCTTGCATCCATGGGACCTGAGAGAGTGGTAGTGTGTGTGTGTGTGTGTGTGTGTGTGTGTGTGTGTGTGTCTGTGTGTGTCTGTGTGTGTATATAGGTGGGGATGGGGTATGAAGTCCAGGATCAGAGGAGAGGTTGGAGGAAAATTTTTACAGTAAATCAAAATATGATCACTTGGACCTTAGGTTTCTGTTTTTACTTATTATTATTTTTTTGGATTTTTAAAATTTCTTTCATACATGACAATAGTGGAATGCATTACATTCATAATTATCCATTCACAGCACAATTTTTCATAACTCTGTATTATTTTTAAAAACCCTCTGTAAAAATGGGACTTTGAAGGGCATCTTGAGGAAAGGGTTCAGCTCCACTCTGTTCTTTCTCAGCAGCCGGGTTGTCTCTTAGCTGCCTTTTTTTTAAAAAAAATTTATTTGTTTTTACTTAGCTAGCCCAGTAGGTTGGTTTTTCATCACTGTAATAAAATTCCTGAGATAACTACCTTATAAAGAGAAAAGGTTTAGGGGTTCCTGTCCATGCTCAGGCAGACTCGCTGTTTTGGGCTTCTAGTGAAGGCGATGCAGAGAATGGGTGGCAGAGCAAAGTGTTTACCTCATGGCCAGGAAGCCAGAGAGCAAGAGGAAGAGACTGAGGTACAGTTCCCTTCAAGGGAATGACCTTAAGGACCTCCCAGTAGTCTTCACCTCCTAAAGGTTCCGCCACCTCCTCTTAGGATGACCCTGGGGGCCGGTCTTTACCAGTGGGCCTTTGGGAGATGCTCAGCATCAGAACTCTAGCACCCAGTGACCTACTGTCCAGCAGCTGCTCAAACTCCCCACGTCTTCAGAGACTGTGCCTCAGCTCCCACCCTGCTCTCTGGGTCCTGCTGGGCACCTGTCCTTGCTCCTCCTTTTCCCCTGGTTTTCAAGGCTCCGCATCCCCTATGAGCGCATGGGAACAGCCTCTCGGAGGCCGAATTAGCTTTTCATGGAGCCAAGCAGAGCTGGGCAGCCACCTGGCTGAGGAGAGGTCATGAACTGCCTGACCAGAGCTGGGGTCGAGGCAGGGGACAGTGATAACAATGGCCAAGCCGGTGTGCTGCTTGAGAGTTTCAAAAGGCTTTCCTGTAAATCAGTACTTCTCCGACCCACAGATGACCCTGTGGTGTTGGACATCATTGTGCCCCTTTGTAGAAGAACAGGCTTGAGCCTCCTCCAGCTCCTTGTTCAGTCTCATTGCCAGAGAGAGGCGGCAGCAAGACCCAGGCCCAGGCGGCATGGTCCCGTGTCCCACCTGGCACCCTTTCTGCCCAGCCTCAGCTGTCCCAGAGGGTCGTGATCTACCTCTGGAATTATGAGACAAGCTGGAAAAGCTGCCCTCAACGCCCATGTTCCTGTCCTCCTGGAGGAGAGAGCGCCAGCCGCTCTGAGTTCTACCCAGGAGCTCTGGTGGAACGTGTCCTGAGGGGCCATCCTTCCTGCCCCAGCTCTTCTGGTGGCCTGACCTGCCTTTCTGTGTGTGTGTGTTTCAGAAGTGGAGCTGCCCCTGAAGAAAGATGGCTTCACCTCGGAAAGCACCACGCTGGAAGCCTTGCTCCGCGGAGAGGGGGTGGAGAAGAAGGTGGATGCCCGCGAGGAGGAGAGCATCCAGGAGATACAGGTACTCCCTCCTGGGGCTGCAGGCCCCCACCCCCCAGCACTCTGAGGCTTTTCCAATTCAATGCACCAACCCCTCTCCCTGATTTCTTCATTTGTTTGTTCCAAATGTATTTAGGGAGCCTGTTGAGCCCTGGGTACCTGCTAGGTCCTGGGGCCATGTTGGGAAGCAAAGCAGACTGAGCCCTCCTCCCTGTGAAATAAACAGCCCACAGTCCAGGGTGCAGACTCCTGGGTGTTGGCTTTGCCCCCTTCCTCACCATGCAGGCTCAGCTCCTGCTCCTCAGACTTCTGGTTCTTTTCTCCCACTGCTCTGGGCCTGGGGGAGAGAGGATCTGGTGGAGTTAATGAGGATTAACTCACTCATCCTTCAAGGCCTGCCTCGTAGTCCCCTCCCTGCAGGATGGTTCATCTGTTCCCCCAGCTCCGGATTATAATGGTGTGCACCCACCATTTCCTGTCACTTGCCTCGAATCCTGTTTATCCAGTACAATGCTCGACACGGAGTATTGTAATAATATTAACTAGTGCTAATATAAATAGTGGTGTTAATAATTAAATATAATTAAATTATATTTTATTGAATTTATATCCTGTATTAAAATTTTATATTTTTGTTACCTAAATGTATATGCATAATTTTATACTCCATTCACTATTTTAATTATTAATTCATTAACTTACTGAAGTGCTAATTAAAGGAATGATAATAATAATAATACCTCTCTGGTTTGTTTAGTAGGTCTCACTGGCCTGTGAGTTCCATAGAGTCGGGACCCAGGCTTGTTGTCACCTCTGTGTCCTCTGTACCTGGTGCATGCAGGTGCAGAGTTGGGTCTCAGTAAAGGCACTGGCCTCCTTCACAGCCACTCCTGTGCCAAGATGAATGGTGGAGTCTTTTCGACTTAGTTCCCGCTCCCTGACTTGTTTGTTCCCTCCTCTGCTTTCCACGAGCTCCAGACCTACTAGAGATTTTTTTCATTCACTCTAGCCTTTAGTTGTCGAGTGGAACTTGGAGTCCCCTTTGTCTTTCTCTCAAGTACAACGTCCACACATCCGGAATCCAGTTGGCCGTGCGTCCAACACAAATCCAGAGCATGGCCCTTCTCCCCACATCCTCTGTGGCCGCCCTGGTCCAGGCCACACTTACCACTTGTCTAAAGGACTGTGATGGTCTTCCCTGCTAGCACCTCAGAGGGAGTCTTTAAAAGACCACTTAAAAATAGCAACTTTGGGTTCATAGCAAAATTGTGAGGCAGGTACAGAGATTTCCTATATCCCCTGTGCCCACGTACACGCATAGGCTCCCCCATGAGCACGGGCTCCCACCACATTGATTACAATCAAGGAACCTACACTGATACGCCCCTATCGCTCAGAGCCCATGCTTTAGTGTCCACTCTTGGTGGTCTATGGGCACATGGTAACGACAGGCAACCACACTTATGGTAGTATGCACTAAAATCCTTTGTGCTCGGGCGTGACCCTCCCTCATAACCCCCTGCAACCACTGGGCTTTACAGTGTGCACAGTTTTTCCCTCTCCAGGACGTCCTTCAGTTGGGGTCCTACGGCAGCCTTTTCGGAGGGACTGCTTTCCCTTAGCAAGCCACGTGTAAGCTTCCTTCATGTCTTGAGAGCTAATTTCTTTTTAGTGCTGAGCAATATTCCATTGATTGGATGGACCATAGGAGAAGGAGCTTTTTCAAGTTCAGTTGGTGCCAGTCATTCTTGAGCGCAAAGCCTGCTGTGGCCACTGTTGTCTGGAGTGAAACAGGGCCCTCCCACCTCTCTGAGCAGCTCCTTCTGTCAAGTCTTGCAGCCACCTGTCTTTGCTGCTCCTAGAACACGCCAGGCCTGCTCCTCCTGCCTCGGGGCGTGGCCTGACCGCTGCATTTCATACCAGGTCCTGTGCCCTGCATCTCTTGTTCCCTCACTCTGCTTTCTTCTTCTTCTCCCCTTTTCTCCTATCACCATCGAATGTCATTTGAAATCTGTTTATTTATTATGTTATTGTTTATTATCTGTTTTCTCCCAATAGAGTGTAAACTCCCCAGGGCAGGAGACTTTGTTCTGCTCACGAATCCATCTCAAGTCCCCCAACAGTGCTGGGCGAGTAGGAGACCCATAGCCCTTATGTGTTGAGTAGGTGCATGAGTGACCAGATTCTGATGAGTGACCCGATCCCGGTCTTTCCCCCTCCCACATGTCCTACTTGGCTAGTTACCTTTTGTCCTGAAGCACAGCTCTGTTTGTGCCACCCCGGCACCTTGCTAAAAAAAAAAAAAAAATTGTGCTTCTCACTAAATAAATCCCGAGTGGTGGTGTGACCTTCCTGGGCCTCCTCTTCCTGCTCCTCAGCTAGTTTTCAGGCTTATTTTGCTGTGACTTCTTTCCTCCCTGCTCCTCAGCCTTCTTCCCTCTCTGCCTTTGGTCCCGCTGGACCCTCTATCTGGCACATGTCTTTTCTTCCACCTCCGTGAGCACAGGTTCCATTCGGCTCTGAGGCTCAGCCTCAGTGCCACCCCCTGTCCAGCCTCTCTGGGTCTCCCCGTAGCCACAGGGCCTCAAGTGTCTAGGGCACCTGCTGCTTTCCTCCTTGTGAGTTTGGCCAGCCGCCTATTCCCCCCAGTGTGGGACTTTTGGATTTTGAAGGCCAGGTTTGTCACCTCTCTGTGACCCCTTCGTGTTGTGTTTGGTTACATAGTGGGCTTTGACAGAATCAGCGAAGGGGACAGACCCTGCCCAGAAGCCTTGATATTGAGTGATGAGTGGCCCTTTTCCTGCAGAACTGGAGGTGGGTTTGAGTTCTTCTCCTGAAACTCGGGTCTATTAGAGATCAGAATATTTATATTCATAAAACTAAATGGCTGTCCTGTGCAGAGCCAGGGGCTGTTCTCCTGGGCTCAAAGCTGAGGCAGTGTCTGAAGCCAAACAGATTCACTTGTGTTCGTCAGCTTCACGTTACCAAAATACCCAGGGAGTCAATGGTCTATAGTTTTTTCCTTTTATTTTCATTCATTTGACCAAAGTTTCATGAAGGCTTCCCTTGAGGAGGAACGGTGTCAGGTGCTGCAGAGAGGGGCCAAGGGAGACCTGGCCTCTCCACCTGTAGTCTGGTGACATACCGACAGAGAACGAGTAAGACCTAAAATATTGTGTTCTTGGAAAAGTACTATGAGATGCACACACGCAAGATGAAGATTCAGTAGAAGAAGGGTCGGGGCAGATTCTAGGTCATGTCCTAAGGAATACAAGGGGTTTAACCTCAGTTAAAGAGCTCTCTGGGCAGAGGAACAGTGTGCTGAAGGCCCCGAGGTAGGTCAGAGCTTGTGTTGCTGGAACAGACGGAAGGCCCATGTGGCTCGAGTGTGGTGCCAGGGAGAAGAGCCCAGGGTGGAGCTGGACAGGTGGCCAGGAGCCAGACCTGTCAGCCTCAAGGGACGTGGAAGTGGCTTTCAGTTTCATGTAAAATAAAAGAGGAAGCCAATTGGAGGATTTTAATCAGGGCAGTGAATTTATATTTTATAAAGATCCCTCTGGTTCTGCATGGAGAGGAGATTGGATGTAGGGCCAACACAGTGACATTTGTTAGATTTTGTAGTATTCCTGGCTGGAGATAATGGAATCTTTGAAAAGGAATTTTTTTCTTTTTCTCTCTCTCTCTCTTTTTTTTCGATACAACCACAAACCACTATTATCATCACTGTAAAGACTGTTTAGAGTAACCGAGAGAAAAGTTATTTTAAAATGTGTTTATTTTGCAGACAATGTCCTTGGACAGGGACTGCTGGTATGTGACTGGGGATAAGCTGATTCTATAGTTGGACCACCCCTGCCCTTCACTTCTTGGACTGGACTCTCCCCCTCTGCTATCTGAGGCCTGAAATGAGCTTTGTTTTTTAGGGTGTCCTGGCTCCTTCTGAGTTAAGAATCACATAGAGAGACTCCTGGTGTCAGGGCCACATTGAGAGAAATGCAGACACTGTTATGGGGCATAGACTGGAGATTCCAGAGTCACAAGGGAGCTGGTGGGGAGAAGAGGGACAGAACCTCAGGGAGAGGAGACGTCAGTTCACTCTTGGACACTGAGGCTGCGTGACACTCTGGGGACCAGCTCATCCGCCTCCACCCATCTTTCACCTTCCAACCCAGAGTCTGTATTATGGACAATAAATACCCTTATCGTGAAAAATGACAGTGGAGTCAGAATTGTACTGAGATGCCAGAGGCAATGACCTTTAAATTCCAGACACTTGGAACTTACCATGATTAAATGACCTCAAGACTCAGAAGCTTTGCAAGACAGCTGTGTGATCAGCCACCGCAGTCCTAATAACTACACCGTATATTTATGCTACATTTTTTTCACTGAAGACTGAACAGCATTTGTCATTGTTTTGCTTGGATTTCACTAGTGGTCCCACCTGCAGGTCAGGAAGCCAAGGGCCTGCTCCAGACCCGAGCCAACATTTCCTAGTTATGAGCCAGAGGTCACATCCAGCAGACTCAGCTGTGACTATTAGATGGTAAAGGCTGACCCAGAGATCCATAAGTACCATTGGCTGGTGGGTTCCTAAATAAAACAGGGAGGGAAATTGGAGAAGAATTCACTAGAACTCTTTGGAGCTCTTTGGAAGGATGGGGTGACAGGGGTATCCTGGGTGCTATGATTGCAGCAGAGCACTCTGGCAGGAAGGCAGGAGCAGAAGATCACTAGTAACCCACTCCTGGGCTTCCTTCTTTGAGGACAGGTCAGCGGTGTGTGTCCGGGAGGCTATTTGAATAGCAATGGTAACATCCGATGTCCATGTGTTGTGTGCTACTTTCTAAGACTTTCCATAGTTTTTATTTTATTTTTTAATTTTTCACCATTCCCCCAAGGATTGTGGTGTCATCCTGTATAAGTGTGTTTCCTGCACACTTTTCTGGCTGCATCTTAGCCATCTTTCTCCTGGAGCCACCAAACTTTGGTCACACCAGCCCTTTCTGCTATTGGGACAAGCCACGGTCCTCTCCCCTTTGCTCATGCTGGTCTTCCTGCCTAGAAGCTCTTTCCTCTCTTCCTCCCTCTTCCCTGTCTCCATTCCCAAGGCTAGTCTTTGCTCATTCTCCATATCTCATCTCCCCTTGTCCTCAGGAAGCCTCCTGCAACCTTCAGATGAGGTAAAATTCCCTTTTTGTCATTTTGCCCTCTCATGTACCCTGAGCTTGACTTTATAACAGCTGGCATTATGTGGTTACGCATGTTCTTTAAATCTGTCCTCTCTTCTCCAGACTGTGGGGTTGATTTGAGGCCAAGACTCCGCTATGTTGCATCTTGCCTTAGTGCAGTTCCTGCTTTGGAGCTAGTGCTAGATATGAATGAAGATTGAATTGATTTCTGTTTTATAAATGGGGGAACCGAGTCACACAGTGAGCCCATATGGAAGTTCTCAGGGCCTTGATATGGAGTTCAGTGAGTTCCAAGCCCCTTGCCTCTTTTCCTACTCCCATGGTGAAGGCCTGGGTCTCCTGCCATGATCTTTGAACCTTCCCTTGAACCTGGGGGTCCATACTCCACTTCTTCCCTCCCCTCTTCTAAGGGAGTGAAGTGCTCAGGTCCCTGTATGAAGAGTACACTGTGATGAACCTGGAGTCCTCATTCCCGAGGTCTGAGAAACCAACGGGAAGTGGAGCTCATGCACCTGACCTTATTCTACTCATGCCCTCCCTCTATGATCTTGAACCATCAAAATGGTTCTCGGCCTCAGTTTTGTTCACCTGTAAAATGGAAATTGGATTCTCTGTGACTCCCAGGACTACCGGAGAGAGATCATTTGAATTCATGATCTTTAAACTCTATGACAAGTCAAGAACTATCATGAAAATATTTTTTTCTTTTAAAGTGGATTCTTACGAGCAGTACGTTAACGTTACATTCTGGTCAGATGAGCAGGAAGTTACTTGTTTTTGTTTTTTGTTTTTTTTTTTAAGACAGGGCAGGTTTCAGAATGACAGGGAAAGGACAAACACATTTTCATGGTTCTGAGGTGGCCTTTGATAGGAACAAAAGGAAAGATTACATTAAAGAAAGTAAGTTTTGATAAAAATGACATGGCTCCATCGAAAAGCATTTCTGCCTGTTTTAATCAGCTTTGTCACGGCTATGACTAAAAGATCTGACCAGAACCATCGTAGAGGCAGAAAAGTTTATTTGGGGGCTCATGGTTTCAGAGGTCTCAGTCCATAGGTGGCCGGCTCCGTTCTCTGGGGCTCCAGGTGAGGCAGGAGATCATGGTGGAAGAGTGTGGTGGAGGGAAACAGCTCACATGATGATCAGGAAGCAGAGAGAGCCTCCACTCACCAGATGCAAAATATATATCAAAGGCTCACCCCCAGGTACCCTTCTCCAGCCACACCCTACCCACCTTCAGTTATCACCCAGTTAATCCCATTAGGGGATTAAGCCACTGATTGGTCTAAGACTCTCATAACCCAATCATTTCTCCTCTAAACCTTCTTGCATTGTCTCACACATGAGCTTTTGGGGGACACCTCACATCCAAATCATAGCACTGCCAGAGTATTCTCAGAAAACTCTTCTTGGGCTCAAAGAGTGGAGAAGTTTGGTGTTCTGGGAGGACTTGGCTGGAAGGGGCTTGGGCTTGGGCTTGAGGAGTGTCAAACTCCTGGGCAGCATCTCAGAGGCTCCACTTCCCAAGCATCAGGAACAGCAGCCTCACTTTGCTAAACAAAACAAAAGCAAAAAACAAAACAAACAAAAACAATGGAACACCTTAAGAAGGACCCTCTGATGATTTTCTCCTTTGCATTTGATTTCTCAAATCTTCTACTGATTTTCTTGTCATTCCAGAGGGTTTTGGAAAATGATGAGAATGTAGAAGAAGGGAATGAAGAAGAGGATTTAGAAGAGGATATTCCCAAACGAAAGAATAGGACCAGAGGACGGGTAAGTGGGGGATGTCACAAGGGAGGAAAGAGCAGAGCTGAGGTCAGGCCAATAATCGATCCCTGGACTTATTCCAGGTCCCACTGAAGCGAGATGATCTCACACCCATGGTCTGGCTTGGAGAATACTCAGAGAGGAACACTCCAGAGGGGCTCTGATCCGGTCAGAGCCTGGAGGAGTTCCATGCTGGCCAGAGGGATGAGAGGAGGCAGAGGGCGCTCTGCGGGGGAGGAGGAGGAGGAGGACAGGGTGTCTGTTGGGCCCATCACTCAGTCATGAAAAAAGGCTGAAAGTTTCCTGGGGTCATCCCAGAATGACAGGGTCAGGACACAAACTTTGGGGGTGCGCTTCCCTAGGCTGGTGCTGGGGAAGAAGGGGGGGATGCAGCTGATGGTCCCCAAGTGGGTTTGGCATGAGCTTTGGAGTCTGGGATGGGGCAAGGAAGGGGTCAGAGCTGGGATGGGCAGAGGGAAACCCCTGGAAGAAGGGATGAAAACCAGGTAGTGGTTGGTCCCCGGCGGGGAGAGAGCCAAGCCAGGGTGGTGCCTTCAGGCCCCAGGTTGGTTCTCCAGAGGCCTCATGTACAAGCCCAGAGGGGCTTTCTGTGGTTGACCTTCTGTGGTCTGCAAGGGCATTGGATAGTAATGAGATGGAGAGGACCCTCCAGGGGTGAACGGAGGCTCCCCACTGGAGAATTCACTCTCTTAGGCCTGAGGCTGCAGGCAGGACCTTTCCCTCCAAGATAAGAAGTTTGCTCTGTGGGTTTGGGTCCAATAATAATTCTCGCAAGCCTCCCTACTCTCACAGCCCCCCCATGCTTTAGTGGACAACAGTATCTCTGAGAGAGCTTTTAAATGCAGATTCCTGGGGACCTGTGGTCAGCAGTCCTGATTCAGCAGATCTGGGATAGGGTGTTGAACTGTATATCACAGGCAAGTTCTCAGTCGACAGTTGCATGTAGTTTTGCACTGCCCGCCCCGTGGGCTCAGATGCTTGGACCTGCTGACAGGAGCAGGGATCTCTCAGTGAGGGCAGGCCAGCTGTCTGATGGTGCGTTCTTATATCGCTGTCACCAGCTTCATCAGTTGCCAGTATTTTGACTGTTTTGTCTCATCTGTTCTTTTCTCCCACTTTTCATTGGTTTCTGTGTTTGATTATTTCCTCCTGAGCAGGAGTGGGTAGGAAGCAAATCCTAGACATTAGAGTGTATCTCTAATAGATTTCATTTTCATACTTAGTAAAAATGACCATTATTCTAATAGCTACTATCCAGCCTCTGTTCATTTCCCCTGGATTTCTCAAAAAAATGCCCAGTACTGGTTGGTTGGTTTGCAGCCTAAGTCTCCTTTATTCCACACATACCTCTTTCTCATGACACTCTACCACAGACATTTTTGTGTTAAACCCCTGTGCCATTGATTTGTTGAAGAACTTGGCTTGTCTTATAGAATTTCTCACATTCAGGATTTGGTGGAGAAGTGGTGCTTTTATGTCTTCCTCTGTCCATTGTATTTCCTGGAAACTGGTATAGTTGTCTTTTCTTTCTGTGGTTTTGGTTTCCATGGTTTTAGTTACCTGTGGTCAACCCTGGTCTGAAAATATTGAATGGAAATTCCAGAAACTTCTGATTCCTAAATTTAAAATCATGCACCATTCTGAGTAGGGTGATGAAATCTTGGGTTGTCCAGCTCTGTCATGCCTGGAATGTGAATCGCCCCTTTGACCAGTGCATCCACACTGTATATGCCACCCTCCCATTAGTCACATCAGGGTTGTCTAGGTTACCGGATAGACTGCTAGTTTTGTAGCACTGTGTTCAAGTAACTCTTATTTTACCTAATAGTGGCCCCACAGCACAAGAGTAGTGATACCTGTGATTTGGATACATCAAAGAGAAGCCATAAAGTATTCCCTTTAAATGAACAGGTGAAAGTTCTTAAAGAAAGAAAAAAACATATCAGATGTTGAGGTTGCTAAGATCAACAGTAAGAATCTTTTATCTGTGACATTGTAAAGAAGAAAAAAGAAATTCCTATTACCTTTGCTGTTACACCTCAAACTGCAGAAGTTATGGCCGCAATGCATGATAAGTGCTTAGTTAAGATGGAAAAGGCATTAAATTATAGGATTTGGTTCTATCTAGTGTTCAGTGCTCCATGGGGAGTCTCGGAACATATTTCCTGTGGATAAAGGTACTACTGTTGTTTGATTAGAGACTTAAATAGATTGAGGTTATTTGTGTGTGTGTGTGTATCTATAAATATTTATTTTGAGGTAGGCAAGAATCTTTCCTTGGTGGTGAGATGTACCTTTTATTGGAGGCACATGGTCTCCAGTTCTTCTGCTTTTTTAGTGGTCTTTGAATTGGTCAGTAGATTTATTGCCAGCCTGATTCCTCCCTTATAAATTTCCTCCACAAATTTTCACCTAGTGATTTTCATAGCCACCGACGAACTTGCCGAGACTCATTACTTCGTTCAGCAGGTAGGGTGGCCTACAAAATAATTGATGTCTGATTCCATCTTGGAAGAAGGCTTTGGAGCTTGAAATTCCTTTGAACCTCGAGGCCTGTGTAACTCCTGACCTGCTTCCTGTCTCCTGAACCAAACCTACTAGAGTAGACTGTAGAAAATGGTCCTCTTAACATTTTCTGCACTCTCAATATAAATCTAGAAGATTGGACTCGCAGTCAGTGAATAGGAATTGGGTGTCTGCTCTGTGAGATTGTCAATAGCAATAGCAGCAGCCACAGCCATTTATACTTACAGTGTACTTACTCTAAACCAGGCAATGCGACGGGCTCTTTACAATGAAGTTACTATGCAGACAGTGATGACTTGTGTCAGATGCTTTACACTATATTCTATATTTCTGACTGTCCATTGCAGAGGCTGCTGGCCACATGGGGCAACTGGTCCAAACTGAGAAGTGCTATAAATGGAAAACACACACCAGATTTCAAAGACTTAGCACGAAGACAGGAGCATAGAACATCTCGTTATCAATTTTAATATTTATTAAATTTTGAAATTATAATATTTCGGATACATGGGTTAAATAAATTATTAAAATAAATTATGTTTTAGTAAAATTAAATGCACATTAAAAAAATGTTTGCCTTATTTTCATTTATTTTTTTTTTTTTGAGTGCTAGGGATTGAATCCGGGTCTTTGAGCATGCTAAAAATGCCCTATACCACAGAGCTACACCCTAACCCAGATCCTCTGTCATATTTTAAATGTAGCTACTGGAAAATTTGAAATGACAAGTGTGGTTCCTGGTATTGATTGGAACTTTTTCTTTCATTCCTTTAAGTTGGTATTATTACTCCCCAAAAGGTTAAATACTTGGGCAAGATCACTCAGCCTTGTCAGGGAGAAGCCTGACAGGATTTGGAGACAGCTCTGTGCTTTCTCCATGGAGTTGTGCCTGCTCAATGCTCAGCATGTAGCCAGGGCCCAGCTTGCTGAGTGAATGACTGAATCATGGAAAACAGAAAGTGTTTTAATCAGCTTTTTTTTTTTCGCTGCTGTGACTAAAGGACCCAACCAGAACAACTGTAGAGGAGGAAAAGTTTATTTAGGGGCTCATGGTTTCAGGGGTCTCAGGCCACAGAAGGTTGGCTCCATTCCTCTGGGCTCAAGGTGAGGCTGAACATCAGGGTGGAAGAAGGTGGCCGAGGGAAGCAGCTCACATGATGATCAGGAAGTAGAGAGAGACTCCACTGGCCAGATGCAAATATATACCTAAAGCCACGCCCCAATTCCCACCTCCTCCAGCCACACCCACCCACCTTCAGTTACCACTCAGTTAATCCCTATCAAGGGATTAATTCACTGATTGGGTTAAGACTCTCGCCACCCCATCATTTCTCCTCTGAATCTTTTTGCATTGTTTTACACGTGAACTTTTGGGAGTCCCCCTCACATTCAAACTATGACAGAAAGAAATAGGCTCAGAAGGCATGAAACAGCGAGGGGACTGGATGGGGCCGAGACTAGCTTGGGTTTCAGCCAGTGCTCGCCGATTAGCAGCTACTGGCTCCATGTTGTACAATGACATTATGGACATACCACCATGGTGGGAGCCATGGAAGAACCCAGAAAGGTATGGGTGGGCCTCTTTGTGCTGCAATAGCATGTGACACTACTTCACCCACAGCCTCAGTTAAGCTGATGGCTACTGGTGAATAACTCCTCCCATTTCCGTGGGTAGTCTAGGCCTGGCTCCTCCATGTGTAGTCCTGGATTGTGGTTTCAGTATTACCTTGGAGCAAGCGAGCTCATTAGTAAGGCAGAAGCCCAGCCTCTGCCCTACATGGACTGGATCAGGGTCTGCAGGTTGACAAGATGTTCAGGTGCTCTGTGTACACATGAGGAAGTCAGGGCTCAGGTAGAGTTTACAAGATGGGTTCTGCCTTACTTGAACTTCAAACCCATGAGTTCCAATCCCAGCTTCATTACCTTCTACTCCTTGGATAAATTATATAAACTCTGTGACCGTAACCACATTGTAAAAGTACTCTGGGCCTCAGTTTCTTCTTCCGTAAAATGGAAATAAGAATACACAGCCAATTTTGAGTGCTTAATAAAGGCGAGGCATTAGAAGGGAGGGTACAAGCCAAGGGAATAGCTCTGGGAGTTCTGATAATGTAAGTTCCCTGAGGGGTGAGAGCAGTTCAAATCTAACAATTAACAAGTATGTTTATGATAACTTTAGCCTGAGAAATCACAGCTTGTTAAGGTTCATAAAATTATTGTTAAGTCATCCACCTGAGTATTATCATTGAATCTATCTCTTAATTAGTATTTTTTGATGCACTATGGTGCAGTCTGGTGCATCTCAAACTTAAGAGTGCATACGAAGATCCCAAAGATCTTGGAAAAGTACAGATTCTGAGGCATCAGGTCTGGGATGTGTGGGCTGAGCTCCTGCCTTGTTAACAGGATCCTGGGTGCTGTTGGCCCTGCAGGTCTGAGGAACCACACTTTCAGTAGCAAAGGTTTTGAGCAATGGTCCTTAATTTTTTTTTCATCTGAACAATTCCTTACACTCTTAAAAATCACTGTGAGCCCCCTGCAAAGGTATTGTTCTGATTATAACCAGTGAGACTTATTTCACTGGTGATTTGCTACATTAGAAATTAAAACAAAAAATTTAAGCTTAAGAATACCTAAGCTCACCGTGAAAGCATCGTCACGTGTCATGTAGCTTCTGGAAAACTCCATTATCCACTTTTGAGAAAATGAGAGGGGAAAAAGCAAATAGTGTTCTAGTATTATTATGAAAATAGTTTTGACACGGATCCCGGGACCACTGTTTGAGAACAACTGTTACAGAAGAACGAGCCCTTGGCTTGGACCGACTGCCCTAGTTAAGGGTCTTTTAGTTGCAGGAAACTTGATGGCTTAAGCAAAAATGGGGAGGACTTGAAAAGTTGCTGGGCCATTGCCCCAAATTTGAGCAATCTTTGAAGATCCAAACCACAGGAAAGGCGGGCGGGAAAGAGGCAGGGACTTAGAACTGGGGAAGAGTAAGAAACCCGGGCCTCTTCTGGCCCCATTTTTTTTTCTCTCTCTGCCTTCTTCTTCTTTTATTTATTTATTTTTAATTGCAGATGGATACAACACCTTTATTATTTATTTATTTATTTATTTTTATGTGGTGCTGAGGATCGAACTCAGGGCCTCACAGCACTAGGCAAGCTCCCCACCACTGAGCCACAACCCCAGCCCTTCCTTCATTCTTCCTTTCCTCTAACTCTCTGCCCCATAGCTCCAGAATTTATGGGTTCCCATAGTTCAAGAGGCTTATACTCATTGTGGGTCATTGTTTCCCAATTCCAAGTCCCTTAGAGGTAGAATCTGATTGGCCCAGCTTGGAGGTAGACTCTGATTAGCTCCAAAAATCATGTGACTAATCCTGAACCAGCCAATCAGCCGTGGCCTATGGGGCAGGGTCCTATGGTACAATCATGGCTGCCATGGCCCACCAGTATGTGAATGGGAGGTGGGGTGGGATGGAGTGCCATGAGGTGGGCAGCTCTCAGAGAGTGTAGACAGGTTCTTTTTTGGCAAATCCATTTCAAAGGTTTCATAACAGTGTCTGGAAACCTAGATCCTGCTGCTTTTACTGGTCCCGTGACTGTGGACAGTCATGAACCCTCTCAGAGCCTGCTTCATCACATGATAAATAGGAATAATACTACTACTCGGTCTAATTCAAAGGTTATTTTAAGAATTAACTGAACTAATACACAGGAAAGAGCTCTGCATGCTGTGAGCCCTGCATAACGCTAAGTGTTAGTGATTCATAATAAAGTACAAAGTGCCATCTCTGCCCTCAAGGACCTCAGAATCAGATTAAGGAGAAGAGGCTAAAACTTAAGATGCAATGAGAGCACAGCAGGTTTCTGACAGTGCATTAACCAGGGGCAAACAGAGCCAGAGGATCCGAGCAACTCTGGAGGCTAAGGTAGGAGGATCACGAGTTCAAAGCCAGCCTCAGCAACTTAGTGAGGCCCTAAGCAACTTATCGAGACCCTGTCTCAAAAGAAAAGAAAAAAGAAAAAAAAATATAAAAGAAAGAAAAGGACTGGGGTTTAGTGGTTAAGTGCCACTGGGTTCAATTCCTGGTACCAAAAACAAAACAAAACAAACCAACCACCACCACCACCACCAACAACAACAAAATGACAAAGATCAATGTGGGTAAGGAGAGAAAAATAATTTATCAAGAACTTCCTATAGACTTAGCACTGACCCTGTGGTGTCACACCCTTAGCTCTAACCCTCTCAACAACTTGCTCTGGAGGTGTTGCTGTTCCTGTTTTACAGATGAGAAAACCCAAGCTTTGAGAAGTAACTAGTGCCAGTCTCATGGCTGATGCTACCGTTTGATTGTCCTCCTGGCTCCATGTGTCAGAATTTAATCCCAATTGGGTGTTCACAGGCCGAAAACTTAATCTGACTATGGAATTTGGAGGCGATTAGGATTAGATAAGGTCATTAGATAAGGGTGGCGCTCCCATGAGTGACACATACACATGCTCCTTAACGCTTGCCCTATGATGCTCTGGGCTACCTCAAGCCTGCAAGCAAGAAGACCATTGCCGGATGAGGCTCCTAGACCTTACATCTTCAGAACCAGAAGTCAAAATGAACTTCATTTGTTTATAAAGAAAAGAAGTTGTGTTATAGTAACCAAAGACTGGCTAATATAGCTGGTGTTCAAATCTATGTCTACATGGCTCTTTTTACTTTTCAGTGCGGCAAGGGGAAGATTTTTGGAAGAATGGGATGATAGCAGGGCTAAAGCATAGATTGGATGTGGCTGGGTAGAGGAGAGACTAGCCATGACAGGGACCACTAAAAACAAAAAAGTGGATGTAGCTGAGTTGGGGTAAACCCGATGAGATCTGCACTAGGCTGCATTTGGATGTGTAAGCGGGTCATAGGTGGCAATGAAAGAATGTGTGAATGAATGAATGATCATGGGCTCCTGTCCCTTCTCCCTTGTGTCTACATGGTTTGGCAGTCCTGCAGGAAGGACTAGGCTGAACAGCCCAGCTGGTGGGTTCTTTGAGCAGTTGAGGTCAGGTTGTGGAATAGAAAGGGATTGTGAAGGCTGCAATGATCTCTGAAGGAAGAATCAATAGCATGTGGATACAGAGAGTGAAGGAGACCACCAATAATTGACTTTCCAGCCAGATTGATGGATTCATTTTTTTTTTTTTTTTGCAAACGTTTAAGGGCTGCCCTGCACCTGGTTCTGAGAATAGTGATGGACTAGATAGACTGATCTCCACCTCATGTGGGACAGACAGAAAGTGAGCAAGTAAAGCAACACATGTACACATTGTCTGCTAGCCAGCTCAAGAGCTGTGAGAAAGCTTGACCGGACAGAGGAAAGGCTATCGAGTGGACAGAAGGTGGTCAGGGAGGGCTTCTTAGAGGAGGTGACATTTGAGCAGGGCAGGTAGATTCCAAGTGGCCAAGCTCGAGATCTTTCAGGGGATCTGTGGTGCTGCTGCCTTAGAAGAATACCTCACCCATCCCCCCAGGTGCCATGTGGCCCAGATCCCCATCCTGCAGCTGGAGGAAACTGAGGCCCAGGGAGTCAGCCCTGCAGCCCTGCGAGCCTGGCTCTCTGCAGAGCTGCTCCTCCGTCAGCAGCTGCCCCGGAAGCCCTGGCGCTTCCAGTTCTCTGCTGACCCCTCCTCTTCCCTGGAGGTATTTCTCCTCTCCGAGCCCCTTCCCAGCTGCTGTTCTTCGTCATTCCGCTTGACTTGCCTTCACCTGCTCTTGGCGGCTGTGACAGGGCTGTGGGCTGTACACGTCAAGCTGTCCCTGGCTTCACTGAGGTGGCGTGGGGGGGAGCAGGCAACGAGGGCGACCACCCTTGGCATCCTGGGCATGGGTGCCTGTCAGTGCCCTGGGGCGACTGCCAGCGCCTGGCAGCTCCCTCTTGGGGTCAACTCTGAGTAATGAGGGCGAGGGGAGGAGGGAGGCTGGCTGTCACTCGTGCAGGGCGGGGGTGGGGGGGTGGGGAGGCAGAGAAGAGACTGGAGGGAGGGAGGAGGAGTTTGTTTTGGAGAGAGACAAGCTGAAGAGGTGGCAGAGGCGGCCGCTTGGCAGGTGGGGTTGATGGTGCAGTGTGGGTGTTTTGTGAGTGTGCGAGGGCCCGGGGCCTGGGGTACGGGCCTCGCCACGGTGAGTCCCCAGGGCCATTTTGCAGGCCAGGCCCTGAGACGACTGCATCTCCCCCACACCCCAGGCCTCTGCTGTGTCTCATTTCTCATCTGCTGCCCCTTCCTCTCTGTCCCCAAAGACCTCAGCCGGCCTTTTCCTTGGCTGGGAGTTTACTGCTACTCATTACCAAAGAATGACCTGGAGGAGGTAGGGTGCTACCCACGTGACCAGTGTGGGACTTACAGAGATTTAAAAATAAACCTCCCACATTCCTGTAGCCACTGTCCTGGACGGCAGAGCTGCCAGCGACCTCTTGGGCTGGTTTTCTCCTGAAAGTAGAGTCATCCCCCCCCTTCTCATGCGGTCCCTCCCTGGGAGATGCACACAGCAGGGCCACATCAGGAGACTGTGAGGGTCAAGGTTTAAGTCACTGGCTGGAGGCCCGAGGCAGACCACACAGCGAGGCCTGACCCGAAACCATCCCAACCAAGGTCAAGCATCAAGGGGACAGAAGCTCCCCTGTGTCTGGGCTTGTGTCCTGGGCCTGGACAGTAGGCCTGGCTGTCTCTTGGGATACTTGGGGAGTGGGCAGTGGAGTGACAACTGCAGTTGCATTTCCTCTCCCACCAGGATTTGCTCCCAGTATGATGGGAGTCAGATGATTAGCGCAGGGATCAGGGCTGGCATCTTCCTCCCGGGTCACTGAAGCTCTAGGAGGAGGCCCTAGTGGGATGGAAGCCCCAGTACCAGGTAGGAATTTGGTCGCCGTGGGCTTATCACTCCGACTGTCCTGAGTTTGTGTCCTGGCTCTGTTCTTTTTGACCTTGGGCTTGTTACTTAGCGTCTCTGCTGCCTCAGTCCCTTCATCCATTAAATGTAGATGATAGTGCTCCCTCCTTGGAGTCGCTTAAGGAGATGACCCAGGCAAGTAGCCGCGGGATTCGGGGCAAGTTCCCTGACCTCTCTGGGGCTCAGTTTCCTCCCCTGTAAAACCGGGTTGGCGTTGGTGCTGCGACGCAGGTGTGGGAGAGATGGAGGCGAGGCACGCAGGGCCTCCCAGGGCGCATGCTCTTGAGCCGTGTGACCATCCTAATAACGAGCATCCCCATACCCCCCTGTCTTCCCAGGCTCGCGGCTCTGCGGGTGGCAGGAGGAGGCACGACGCTGCCTCTCAGGAAGACCACGACAAGCCTTACGTCTGTGACAGTAAGTATGGGCGTCTCGGCTCCTGCCCCAGCCCCACCCTGCCCTCTGCTTCCGTGGCTGCCAGGCCACTGCTCCTGGGCCTGCACCCTGCCTGCCCGCCTGCCCCTCCACCAGTGTCCCCTCCTCCTGATGCAGCCAGGGTGTCTGCACAGGGGAGCCCGTCGGGAGGCCTCCTGTCCTTCTCCATCTGGCAGTGCCTTCTTGGTGGCCTTCCTCAGGCGCTCTCTCTCTCTCTCTCTCTCTCTCTCTCTCTCTCTCTCCACCTCTTTTAAGATTCATCCTCTATTTCTTTCTCCATTTCAGAGAGTCACAAACAATAGCATAACGCACCCCCCCACCCCCAAAGGTGCTTGTGGCTTTTCATTTGTTTCTCTTTAATTTCCTTCTCTGTCCCTGTCCTCGGTAGGACCACCTGGGAAGAATCTCTCTGGGACGATGACTCACTTTAATAAACCCCCCTCCATCCATCTCCAGACTTTTCTTGCTGCTTCAGAAACCTCTCCTGGACAAGCGACTGCCTGGTCCTGGGTTAGGGTCTGCAGACGTGGGGCTGGGAGAGAGGGGTGGCGGGGAGCCCCGGTCACTGTGCTGTTTCTCCAGGGGCCTTCAGCTGGAGGAGCAACTGTGGTCAGCAGCGTTTGTCCTTTCGCACTTTCCAGAGCAGGGGACAGTGGGTTTAGCATCCTGCCCTGTCGTCTTCTCCCTGTATCAGCCGCCATCTGTTCATTCCATGGCAAGGACAGCCCTCAAATCCACCCTCCTGCAGATCTTCCTTCCTGCCTTCTCCTCTGATTTCCCAGACCCCTGTCCTAGGGGAGAAGGGGCTTCAGGGAAGCAGCTGCGGCAGGACTGGGCATGGGGCTTCCCCGGGTGCCCCATCCATCTTCCCCAAGGCAGGGGGTGAGCCAGGGGAAAGAGGGCCCAGGGAGGACCCTGGAGGTGGGGCCTTTTCCCTCCCTCCTTCACTGGCCTCTTGTGATTTTCCAAAAGTCATTCCGTGCCTGGTGGGGTGACAGCTGTTTGGAGAACATTTTGCTAGAAGAACTCAAACTCTGTGACCCCCATTTGGCTGTTGAACACACCGTGCAGTGAAATTCCTGAGATGACTCCTGCAGGTAACATCCCACCTCGGGCAGTTGCGGTCCAGAATGAGGAGGAAGCAGGGCACAGCCCCGATGCCTCTGGGCAATGCCAGTGGGTGCCTGCTTTGGCCTGGGTCTTGCTTCCTGGATGGGGATCAGTTTTGTTGCCCTGGGGAGACTGGTTCTGGGCTTCGGGCTGGGAAGGGTCCTCAGACCCCCCCATGGAGCAGGCTTTCCAGCTGTGTCTGGCTGCCGCAGCCCATCCATCAAGGCTGCCAGCAGCTGTTGTGGACCTGGGGCATTGCCACTCTAGTCTTCTTTTAAAAAGCTTTATTTTCATTTTGGTGATTTCTGCTATCATAGATCCTGGGGTTAGCTTTTCACTCTCTAGTAGTTGATGGAAGCCCAGCCAATAATATTCCTGTATATTCCCGGCCACACCTTGCACACCCTTTCTCATGTTCCACTCACTTCCCAGTCCCCTTTCTTTGACATTTACCCCCCTTGTAGATGATCTCCACCAAGCCTGCTCTCTCTGCACAAAGCACTAGCGTTGAACCCTCTCCTCCAAAGTGCCTGTCTTTGTTTAGGGGCTCTTAGTGCCATTTGTTGTGTTCCGGTTCCCTGTCCACAGGGTCTCTCCTTCCTGCCGACCCTGCAGTGCTTGGGGGACCTAAGTACAGGCTGCTGTTGCCTTTCTGGAAATCTCAGTGGCTGTTTCCTTGGCTCTTCCCAGATGTGCACAGCCTCCCTCTTCCTTCCTCGGTGGAGTGAGGTCCACTGTAGATTGCCCTTCTCTCTTCTGGCTCTCCTAGGACATTGTGTGGCAGCTCCGTGATTAATAGACTTTATTTTTATCCAGTGCCCTTCAGACATGTGATCCTTTGGGATAGAAATGACCTTTGGAGAGGTCAGGAGGCCCACCCCCCACCCCTGAACTGGGCAAGGAATGCTTTTAATAATCTCTAATGCATCCTAAGTAGAGAGGTGTCTGGTCGCCTTTCTAGAACATCCCCAGGGATGGAGTTACCATAAGCTGCCCTTTTTTTTTTTTTTTCTTGATTCCCGCTGTGCTTTGAATGATCGTTTCTTCCTCATAGGAGTGGAAAATGTTCTCTCCTGCAGGCCTCTTTTGTCTTTTGTGCACCTTTGCCCGACACCTAGGCACAGTCAGCATTTCCTAACATCCTTGTAGTCTTGGCCGACCCAGGGTTCCACCCCACCATCTCTGTGCGGTCCTACTCTGAATTCCAATCCGGGTCTGCATTTAAGCACCGCATCCTCACTGGAAGTAGCATCCAGAGCCAGTGGTTCCAACAGCCACAGACACATTTCCTTGTTGGTTTTACACACCAGCTCCTAGCACAACTCACATCAGCAGAGAACATTCTGGTTGCCTGGTACACCATCTCAGCCACTCCCCCATCAGTGCCACCATCCTGGCCGGTGCCAGGGTCTCTCCAGGTGTGTGTCCTTTTCTACTTATGCATTGGATTATCTCTCCTTCCATAAATCACTCTACGTTTGGCCCCATTGAGTCTCCATAAACAGATATACAATAATGTGTGACTTCAATATACAAGATTCAATCAAGGCAAATTTAAAGACGTTGCCCACTAGTTAAATTTCATTCTTCACAGATTTGCAGTCCCTGCCATTTTTGTATCATCTGTGGCTTGATTTGCATAATTCCCACTCCATCTTTCGAGTTATTTATGAAAATATTAGGTCACCTTGGACCCCAACCCCTCTCTCTGGGTTTCTGTGGAGTGGTAATAAGCCATTTTTTTTCCAGATGCAATTGTATTTAACCCTTCCTGGGTCCAGCCATCCTGTTGTGGTGTCGGTCTAAGCGTCCCTTTCACAATGGGTGGTTGAAATATTATCTTAGCTGCTAACTTCAGGTGATAGATAGTTTGCTTCTTGCCTTTCACTTAGCCATTGAATTTATTCCATCTCAGAAATATTAAATCACCTGAATGTAATTTATTTTTTTCAACCCAGTCTATGGTGTGTGTATGAATACTTCATTTTTCCAGCAAGTAACCCATCTCTATTAATTATCTTGCAAGTTTCCAAGCTTGAGGATTGAAGTTCTGTTTCTTCTCTTTTGGTCTCTTGCTGAAGGAGACGTACGTGTTCGTTGCCCACAAACAAAGCAATGGAATAGGACTTGCTGGGGAAGGCTGTTGGTGACCATCAGAGGTGTGGACCTGGACCACCTGCCCAGAAATGACCTAGCTGCTTATCAAAATGCAGATTCCCGGGCCTGGTGCCAGAATCACAGAGGCAGTCCCACAGCCTGCATTTTCTGAGGGTTTCTTAGGGGGCAGTCTTATGTCTCTTGGTGTTGGAGGCTGACTGGTCCCCTTCATTCAAACTCCAAGGCTCTTGGCCTGTGGATGCTCAGCCTCTACTTTTTGTCTGAAGTTCTTGATGCTCCAAGATTCTCCAGGCAGATGGCCACTGGCTGGTATCCTGTGGTTCAGTTGGCCTCTTAGACTCTTTCCTCCCGAGTTCTTTCAGCAGTGATAAAACTCAGCTGCCCAGGATAAAACTCAGTAATCTAGCATGTGATGTCAGTGCACTTCCTCATCGTCTCATTAGCCCATTTTACAGGTGGGATGATAACTGGAGACAGACATGTGAAGGGAATCCTTGGGTTTGGGCTCCTGAAGTCATTTCAAGAGTTCTCCTCTCCTCTTCCTGGCTCCTCCCAGGACGAGGAATTGTTCTGTTAGCAGACTCCTGGTGAGAGACCCACTTTTCTGTTTTGTTTGTTCAAGGAACATGATAGAAAAGAGGGTGGTGATGGGGTAGATGGGGTGATGTTCATGGAAAAAGTTCTGTCTCCGAGACTTAGCCATTCAAGGAGGCGCAGAGCAAGACCTGCACTTTCACTGGGCAGACTGGAAGTGACTGGTGAAGCTTTATGCAGCCCTCCCCTAGTTTTTTATTTTATTTTTTAACTGTAATAATTCTTCCTGTTAATTGGTGCTCACAGCATGTATTGCACTCTGCCTAACCTACAAGGACAGACCATCTCACTTTATGTGAAGAAACGGAGGATTCAGAGAGGTGAAGGGACTTGTCTAAGGTCACACAGATGGTTAATGCCAACACTGGGATACGAGCATCTCTTTCTTCAGCTCCAGAACTGACATACCCCAGAACATCTCCTGAACAAACTGCTGGTTCAATGTGCTCTGAGAGTTGAAGGGGAAAAAAAAAAGTGTTTTAAAAGTTAATTAATGAGCACATGTACCTAATTTATGAAGTGAAGTCCTGTCCACTATTGACAGATGACTTCTCGGTGTCAGGTTGACAAGCCGGAGTCAGGTAGTAATTATAATTGAAGTGGAGTGCAAAAGATTATACGATTTTTGAACCTTTTAAATTTAAATCTGTTAAAATCACTCCCTCCACTCCCCAAACTAGGGCACTGGGGTGGATCAGTGACCACAGACAGACAGACGTGATGGAGGGTGTCCTAGGAGCCTGACTCACCTGTGAGTCCTGTCCAGGGTTCACACATCGGSGGGGGGGGGGGGGTTGTCTGAGCCCCACCTGTTTCAGTGACATCCTTGTCTCCACCACCCTCGCCCCTTACACGTGTATTTCAGTTGTGTGGCCTGTGATCCTAGATGGGACCAGGCATCATGCTCGTCTAGAAACCCAGCATCGAGGGCTTAACTCTGTCCAGTGGGGGGAGTGTCAGAGCAGGGTCTGGTGTCCCTTCCTGCCCTGGAATCTGGCCTCCTGGTGGTGTACTGGAGGAGAAGGGTGTCCAGCTAATGCAGGGTCTAGCCCTAGTTCTGCACTCACGGGCGGTGGCACCTGCTTGTGCATTTGCTCTTGCGGAGATGACCCCTATCTTGAGCTCTGGGCCTCCCTGTTCAGCACCTCTCCTCTGCCCTT